GCGCGCTCTGGTGGCCTAGTGGCAAGAAGCTGCAACTACAGTCTCAGAGGTGCATGGTTCAAATCCACCAGATGCTCTGCTGGAGAAGGAGGAACAATCTCCTCCTGTACCAGTCAGATCTGATTTGACGGTACACACAAAAAAAATAATGAAATAAAAAAAAAAAACCAAGTTGGAAAAATGTATTGGTGTAGAAATTGCTGTGTATTTTCTCAACAAAAACAATAAAACAATTTCTTTATAATTTGCAGGGTATTGTCTAGAGTTAGCTTTGTTTAATGTAACAGTCCTGCAAGATAATATTTTTAGAACTACTAATATGCCAACATATTTCTTAGCATTTTAATATCTTCATAGCAATTCTGTGAAGTAGAAGTTAGAACACTTTCTAGAAATGGAAATATAAAAGTGCATGCATTGTAGCCTTTAAAGTAAAACAATATATTCATGTTTTAATGGTTAAAAACTTTAGCTTTAATCAAATGTTCACTCGAATTAAGACTGCTGAATTGCAATGAAAGGAATGAGATCAAAGAAAAGGTATAAAATGCTGAAGTTATAATTGCTAACAGGTAAGTTGTAATTAGGAATCATGCTGGGTTTGTTTTTTTTTTTCAGAGTAAACATGCCTATCATCTCTGAGGGGCAAGTAAGCCTACCTATCTCATTTCTTCTCAACCTTTTTGTGGTTTCTTATTGCCGACCATGGAACCTTTATAGTGTTTACTTTTGTAATCGTTTCCCTCTATTTTATTACTGTGGCTATATTTATCCATTTATAGGCTGCATATTTTTAAGCACAAAGAATGTAAGACCTTTCTACCTCCATTCTCGCACTGAAAGAAATTTCTAAATCTCTTATGTAGTAGAGCATTTTAAGTTAGGGTCAGGGGGACCTTTTGCAGTGAATGTATCTGCTGCTTGAAATTTTCTTTTTCCTGTCCTAAGGAGGGGTACTCTGGTGAGGTAGTCCTTAGAGAGTTGCACTGCTAGCCTGCCTCTTAGCAGTTGAAATCCACCAGAAGCTATGCTGGGCAATATTCTCCTGTATTTATAGCCTCTGAAAACTCCTTTGGGGGTGAACGATGAGTCAGTTCCAATTCTACAGCAGTGACTTTTGATGAGACCTTAGAATCTGAATTTTAGTTGTATGACATTAAATATATTCCAATCCATTAAATTCAAACTTATATCTTACCATAAAACCAAATGAGGGCGAGCTCTGGTGGCCTAGTGGCAAGAAGGTATACTGCAATCCCAGAGGTACACTGTTCAAATCCACCAGATGCTCTGCTGGAGAAGGTGGAACAATCTCCTCCTGTACCAGTCAGATCTGATTTGACAGTACACACACACACAAATAATAAAATAAAATTTAAAAAACAAAACAAAACAAAAAACCAAAAAACCCCAAATGAGGAAAAAGGAGTTGTTTTCATGAACTCCAAAAGTTGATTTCCAAGACTTGATGACAGTTGTTGGTTTTGGTGTATTTTTATTTGATTTATCAGCTAAGAAAGTTCTAATGGGTCATTAACTGCATACTGACCAAAAGCCATACTCCTCTGGTTGCTCAAATGCACAAGTGGCTCCTTTGGAGAAAGGTGGGCAATCTCCTTCTAGACAGTTTACAACCTCTGGAAACCCATTAGAGGGTCAGCTATGAGACAGTTCCAACTCAATTGCACATAACACAACAATCAACACCTTACTATAGGTTTCCTTTCTCATCACTCAGTTTCTTTATTTACTCTCTTTCCCTTTCCATCTCTGTTAGCCCTTGAAGAGTGATTCTATTTTGTTGTTGTTGTTGTATTTTTATTTCCATTCATTCATTGTTGCACTTATCTCCTCTCCCAAGCTTCCCCCCCAGTACACTACCCTCTTGGAAAAGTAAAATTCTTTCATTGTTTTACAGTCCCTTCTCCCAGGTCCACTCCACTATGCAGCCTTCGCTCTGGACTCCTGTCATGACAAAAATACCTAATCACATATCCCTTTTAAACAGTTTTCTCTCTCATCTGTTTCAATGCAGTATACAGTATTAAACCCATCTTTCACTGTCATGTTTTACAGCAGTGGCACCATGCAGTATTTGTCCTTTATTGACTGAGATACTTCACTCAGCATAATGTCCTCCAGGGTCACCTATTTTGAATAATATTGCATGAGTTCCTTGTCTTTCAATGCAGCATAGTATTCCATTGTGTGAATATACCACAGCTTCTCTATCCATTCGTTTGTTGATGGGCACTTAGGTTGTTTCCAACTCCTTGCTATTGTGAACAAAGCTGCAATAAACATGGGTGTGCATATATCTGCTTGGATGTCAGTTATGGTCTCTTCGGGGTATATTCCCAGTAGTGGAATTGCTGGGTCAAATGGTATCTCTATTTGCAACTTTTTGAGAAAGCTCCATACCGCTTTCCACAGAGGCTGCACCATTTTACACTCCCACCAACAGTGAATAAGGGTTCCAGTTTGTCCACAACCTCACCAGCTTTTGTTGCTTGCTATTCTGACTGGGGTGAGACGATATCTCCTAGTTGTTTTGGTTTGCATCTCTCTTAGAGCTAGGGATTTGGAACATTTCTTCATGTGCTTGTTGGCCATCAGAATGTCTTCTATGGTGAAGTGTCTGTTCATATTGTGCCCATTTTTCAATTGGATTATTTCCCTTTATCTTGTTGTGGTGCTCAAGTATTTCATAAATTCTGGATATAAGCCCCTTATCTGATATGCCATTACCAAATACTTTTTCCCAACCTGTGGCTTCCCTTTTTACCCTGTTGGAGAAGTTTTTGGATGTGCATAGGGATTTGATTCTTAGAAGGTCCCATTCATCTATTTTTCTGTTCTCCTGGTTGTAGGTGAGTGATTCTATTTTTGTGTAAATATTTTTCTTAAAAAACTCAAAACTGACTTCTGAGGATATTGCCCATCTTTCTCCCTTGGAGCTTCTAGTGGATTTGAACAGCTGGAGTGGCAGGGCCTTTTGATTAGCAACCCTTTGTGCTATCCAACAAGATCACCCCATTTATATAGTAGTTTTTGTTATGTGTTGAGTTGGAACCAACCCACAGCTAAATCTCCAGTGGGTTTTCAAAGGCAGTTAATCCCATGGGAAGAGACTGTTCATCTTTCTCCCATGGAGCAGTTGGTAGATTCAAACCACCCACCTTTGGGTTTACACTTTACCAGTTTGCCACCAGAGTGATCTTTTACCATGATTTTCATTTTGTGATTCACTGATGTACATTACTCAGCATAATGTATTCTAGGTTCACTCACATGCAGTATTTAATGAATTTTTAAAAATATCTTAGTGACGTATAATACTCCATATGTACCAGCTTCTTTAGCCTGTTGTCCATTGATGGACACTTGGGGGGTTGTTTCCAACTCTTTGCTATAATAAAATGTTGCTGAAGCATGTTTGTTTGTGCCAGTTTGTGTCATACCTCTTACTTTACTACATATGTAGTAGTGGGATTGCTGGATCAAGTTGTATTTCTTTTCTTAACTTCCAGAGGAAGTACCAAACTGCTTTCCATAGTGGTTGCACCATTTTACATCCTCATCAGCATTGCTTGAGAATTCTAGTCTCTTCAACCCTTACCAGTGTTTGTTGTTTACTGTCTTAGCAAACAAAATAACTAACTGTCTGGTATCAAATTGATAACAGCCTCTGAAATGTTGGCTAGGAAACTTGAGGGATTAGTGATTTTATGTTAAATTCTGCAAAAGTAGATAAAAATGATTGTACTACTTGAACAATGTCACTATCACTGAATTGTGCATGTAGAAATTGTTGAATTGTTGTCTATTCAGCTGTGTATCTTTTTAATAGCAACAAAATAAAATGCTGCTGTTGTGTGCATCGTGTCACTTGAGACTCATAGTAAACCTATGTACAACAGCTCTGAACCCTGCTCCATCCTGTGTCAACCTTATTGCCTCTGACAAACCTACCCAGATTACCCTAGTCATTGAATCAATCCATCTCATCAAGGGTCTTCCTCTCTTGTGCTGTCCCTCAGCCCTCCCAAGTATGATGTCCCTTTCCAAGGACCTCCTTGCAACATACCCAAAGTATGTGAGATGAAGCCTCAGAATCCTTGCCTCCAAGGAGCATCTTGGCTTTACCCTCTTTAGGATGAACCGGATTTTTTCTCCTAGCATTCCATGATATATTCAGTACTCTTCTCCAGAACCACAGCTCAAAGGCATCATCAGTTCTCCTATCATCCCTAGTCATTGTCCAGCTTCTGATGCATAGCAAGTAATTGAGAAGACTATGGCCTGGATTAGACACACCTTAGTCTCCAGACTGACATCGGCAAAATAAATTACTAGAAGTTAAAGCATGTGGACAGTGTAATAGTTAACATTGGTTTTTTGAGTACCATTGAGTCAGAACCAACTCATAGCTGACCTTCTAGCAGGTTTTACATAGTTACTGTATTTAGTTTCAGGGTTACTGGTACTTGATTTTTTTTTAAAATTTTATTTTTTTTTTAATATTGAACTCAAAACGGATACCTTTTCACTGTATTGTTCTTATCCTTGATGTGGAACCAGCTCATAACTGACCTTCAGTGGACTTTCAGAGGCCGTAAATCACAAGGGAAGAAATTGCCCATTTCCCTCTTGCTGACTAGCTGGGGTATTCAAACTGCGTGCTTGTAGATTGGTAGCACACCTTACTACTAAGCCTCCAGAGCTCCCTGTAAAGGAAACTCCATTGAATAGATTTTTTTTTTAAGGGATTACAAAAAATTGCCTAATTAATTTGCCATCAACCACTGAAGAAGAACCATTAATTACTTAATGGGAGAGAAAAGCACAATGAACATCAGATTTTTTCCTAAAAGATAAATAATACAAAAGGATGTGAAAATTTTATGTTATTTCATTGCAGTAAGATACAGTAGTTATAACATACTATAGTTTAGTGGTTTGTGGTGTTTTTTTTTTCTGTCTCTTACAGGCTGCTTGACATGGATGAATGTTCAGTGGGAAGAATAAAAGTACCTGAACAGACTCCTGCCTTATTAGGGAGTACAACTATGGCAGCTAGTCTCATGGATGTAGAAAACTCATTTGGTCAAACTAGTCATTTAGTGAATAGACTTAGAAATATTTCAGAAGAAGAAGATGATGATGTTGTATTTATTGAATCTGTACAGCCTCCTTTAGTTTCTGCACCAGCAGTGGTTAATCAAAGAAATATATCATCAAAAAGGGATACGCTGCAAGGACCAAGTTGCATAATTTTTCCTCCTTCAAAAGAGTTGACTTCTCAGAACTTAAATATAAGTGAGACAATTGTCATTGATGATGAAGAGGATATAGAAACAGATCATGGACAAAAGAAAAATTCTTTCGGTTTTATTGAATGGGGACTTCCTGGAATTAAAAACACCAAAGATTTGGATTTCTCTGCTTCCAGTCTTTCAAGAAGTAAGGTAAATGCAGGAATGGGTAATAGTGTTATCTCCACAGAATCGACTCTGAAATTCATATTACTAATGTTTCAACTTTAGAAACAGGTATAAGGTCTGTCTATGAATACTGGGAAAGATATGAACTTAATGATTACCAATCACTATAGAATACCAACTTGAGAGATGTCTCTAACGGACTGCAGTCAAGTAATTTTGGTGTTAATATACAAACATACACCCCATCTTTAACTTCACAGAGCAAGATTGGAGTAGGACCTTTTAATCCTGGTAGAATGAATGTGGCAGGAGACATGTTTGAGAATGGAGAATCTGCACCTCATCATAGTCCTGGTAAGTGTTAGGTGATACTAAATATTTTCATTGTACCTCAAGCAAATTAATTTTGACATCCTTTTTCATAACCTTTATTTACATTTTATTGTGAAATATATTTTGGCTTTCATATTAAGATAGAATATATAGTACTTAACAAAATTGCACTTAGCTAAAGTAATTGAAAACACACTTCAGTATAACGCCACCAGACTTCTTGTATATTAATATATCTTTATTTTATTTTTTTACTTATAGATCTGCTGGTCATCTACAAAAGATTTTCTGTAGAAATATAGTATAATTTTTTTATTCATGCATTGCTACACATTTTCTTCTCTCCTATTTTTTTCCCTCCCCCAGTCCACTTGACCGTGTGCCTATTGTTCCAGATTACTGTCATGCATGTAACACCTAATCATATATTCCATTTGAACTATTCTTCCCCTCATCTGTTCCAATACAGTGTTCATTATCTTTTCCCATTCTCTCCCTAATCCCTATGTCCTATTTTATAACAGTGATGTTATGCAGTATTTGTCTTTTTGTGACTGAGTTATTTCAGCATAATGTTCTCCAGGCTTACTCATGTTGTGTAATGTTTTATGAGTTCATTGTTTCTAGTGATGTGTAATATCCATGTGTGAATGTACCATAGTTTTTCTATGCATCCATTTATTGATAGGCACTTCAGTTGTTTCCATCTCTTTTTGCTGTGATAAAGTATCTCTTTATTTTAATAATAAATTTCTAGAATAAAGAAATGAGTAACAAACTAAAGGAGCAATACATACCTTTAGAGTTCAGGTGCTTTTTAAAAAATTTTATTTTATTATTTTTTTGTGTGTGTACTGTCAAATCAGATCTGACTGGTACAGGATGATATTGTCCCTCCTTCTCCAGCAGAACATCTGGTGGATTTGAACCTCATGCCTCTGGGATTGCATTGTATCTTCTTGCCACTAGGCCACCAGAGCTCCCTTCAGGTGTTTTTTTGTTGTTTTTTTTTTAAGAGTTTACTTTTGGACTGCTTGTCTTTGTTTTTTAAACCAATATTTTAATAATCACTTTTTAAATATTTTTAGTTAATTTCCAATTAATCATTCATATACATTTTGTTTTATAACATTAATTATAACTTATCAGTGCCATTTATTATGATGTAGCATAAAATCCTCACAGGTTTCTTGCCTTTCCCTTCACCCTGCCCAGAGATCCATTGATCTCTGCTCCCATCTCCTTTCTTTCCCATCCTTGTCAGCCCTCCATGATTATTTCTGTGTATAAGCCTTAGCTTTTTTTCAGTTATACATATCTTGTTCCACATTCTTAATTATAATATACACAAGGCCTGATTGTCCATTCATTCCAAATTGTCCTTCATTTACTTATTCCAAAGTATTCATTGGTTTTCTATTCTAACCACTTTATTTTTAAGTGGGAAAGTATTCTTGCCTTTAAATCAAAGACTTATATTTTTATAATTTTTTATTGGTAGTCTTATTCTGATTAAATATAATGAAAGTTACTAAAATATTAGCGTTTTTAGTGGATTTTTCATTATTTTTAGGGCTTTTGTTTTTATCATTTTAGTGCTTTTAGCTATTTGATCAACTTAGCATTTTCAGGGACTGAAAAGTAACTAGAACCCCACAGCCTAATCGTTGTTAATTCTTTAATACCATGCTTGCTAGTTTTTGGTGGTTTGTTTTCAGAGGGAGGGGTTTTTAGTTTTTGGAATATCTAGGTGACACAAATGGTCACCCTTAGCTGCTATTCAAATCGACCATGAGACATTTCGAAAAAAAGGCCTATCAGTCTACTTCCAAAGGGTCACAGCCTTTGAACACACTATGGAGCACAGCTCTATTCTGATACACTTCAACTCCAGGGCATCTGGTTTTGTTTTCCTCCTCTAGTTATGAAGGTACTATATGACTGCTACCGAATATTGGGTGAAAAGTACTCGACCTCACTAATGAGATGTATTACTGTTTTGTTTTTCTTTCTCTTTTAAAAAATATAGTTGACGTTTTAGTGATAGAAGCAGTTTCTATCCATTAACTTAATTCATACTAATTTAGTGGCTGTGAATTATTTCTTTAGCTGAGGAACCCATTCCCCTAATTTTTTGTTTTTAGCATTTACATGATGTCTTTAACTGTGCTGCTATAACAAATATCACAAATAAATTTTTTTAACAAACAAATTTATTTTTTACAGTTGTTGTTATTGTGTGCTGTTGAGTCAGAACCAACCCATAGCTGACCCTCTAGCGGTTTTCAGAAGCAGTAAATCGCACTGGAGAAGACTGTGTTTCCTTTCCCTGTGGAGCAGCTGGTAGATTTGAACTGCATGTCTTTTAGAATTGCAGTGCAACTTCTTATCACTAAGCTATAAGACCTCTAAGTTTGAGTTGCAGGAACTTTCTTTCTTGGCTCCAGAGGAAAGTCTTTGTCTCTTTAGAATTTGCCTGTCATCTTTCCTCAAAGAAAAACTTTCTTTATGAAGTGCCAATATAACATCTTCCCCCCATGTATAACAGCTAGTAGATTTGAACCACCAATCTTTTGGTTAAACCTCTGCACTATCAAGGCTCTTCCAAACACAGGATTAGGATTTACAAATTTTATTTTGAAGGGACACAATTTGATTCACCACACATAGTTTTATTATATTTATGATATCTTCCTTTTTTATTTTTTGCATTTGAAACTTCACTAACAGCTTTGTTTACATGACATTATTTGCTTAGAAAAGTGGCTCTCAATCCTTTGATCTCAGAGTCACTCTTTTTTTAAAGCCATGCTTTAATTTATTAGCATTGTCAGTCTATGAAAAAGATATGTTTTACTACCAATACCCCTTCCCCCAGTGGAACAAGATTGTTTTCATGTGTCCACACATCTTCACTTTGGAAATGCTAATATGACATTTTCCCATGTGTTACAGCTATTAGATTTGAACCACCCATCTTTTGGTTAAACCTCTGCACTATCAAGGCTCTTCCAACCACAGGTTAGGATTTACAGATTTTATTTTGAAGTGACACAATTTGATTCACCACACATAGTTTTATTCTCTTTATGATATCTTCCTTTTTATTTTTTGTATTTGAAACTTGGTATGTAACATAGAGTTGGGATCAACTCATGGCTGACCGTCCAGCTGGTTTCAGAGACAATTAATCACATGGGAGGAGATGGCCCATCTTTTTCCCATAGAGCAGCTAGCAGATTTGAACCTTGTGCCTTTGGTTTGACAGCACAGCTCCTTACTACTAAGCCACCAGAGATAGAGGATAGATTAATTATTTCCTTTTTCACTCTGACAATTTTACAAATTTTTTCACAGTTTTTCTTGTAATCACTTTCTTTTTTATTTATACCATCATTCACTTCTATATATTTATTCCTAGACATTGTTTCATCTGTGGACATTTTGTTTATGTCATTGATCTGTTGATCTATTACTTAGATCTCTCTGCTTACCTTACCTGTATACCCACCCATCCCCTCACTAATCTCTGCCGTCCTAGTGATTTCCTCTTCCTTCTTTTCCCTTTCCCTTTTAACAGTTATATATATCTCCCAACCCTCTTTCCCTTTTGAACAGAGGGGGTGTGTTTGTGTGCGGGGTATGTGTTTAAGTGTAAGTATGTAATTCCTATTTACTCATTGCAATAGGCATATTTATCTCAGTTCTTCTCAGGTTGATTCTTCCTTGTGTTGGTCCTTCTGATGTTCTTTTTCTACCCATTATGTTTCTATTCCTCCTTCCTTTATCCCTCACCCCTCAGTAATAGGCTTTTAAAGATAATTTTAATTAATATTCTTTTGAACTTTCAACAAAACTCAGTTGATAAGCCCTTAGAACTTCTTCAGTGTGTGGAATTTGATGCCTTAACATGACCTTTTGTACAGGTATTTTTTGAGAAAATCTCTGCCAGTAACCTTAGTAAACCATCATAATAAACATAATAAAATAGAATAAAATGAATGGTTTTACTGTTTTATCAGGACATCTAAAAATGAAAATGACACCGGTTGTAGTAAGGTCATTGACATTTGAAAAGTCTTAGCCAGTGGTGATCAATTTAGTAAAATAGTTAAAACTTGGAAAATACTGATTCACTCAGTTCCATATATCTTCTAAATATTGACATTTTAAGAAGCTCCAAAGCCCAAAGTGACAGAGATAAATTCTCCAAAATTCTGATTTTCACTTAAAAACTCAAATTTCCTTATTGGTAAGTGATATGCTGTCAATTCACTCACTTGTGTTTGTTTGGGTTTTTTTCGGGGGGGGGGGGGGTTGTGTTGTTTTTAGATAGTTTTTAATTTTTTGCACATATTCTTCCCCCCCCCCCCCGCAGCCCACCCAGCAATGCACCCCTTGTTCCAGATTGTTGCCATCCATTTGATACTTAATCATATATTTCTAACAGTTCTTCCTCTCACATGTTCTACTGCAGTGTTTGTTATTTATCCACTCTTTCCCAATTTTTGCCCACGCCACACCCATCTGTCCTATTTTAGAACAGTTTTCTCTGGTTTATAATAATAATTATTATTCTCTAGATTTTGTAACAGGTGGCTCTGGTTTCTTTAGGGTATGTTCCCAGTAATGGAATTACTGTGTCAAATGATATTTCAAACAGTGATGGTATACAGAATCTGTCCTTTTGTGACTGAGATATTTTACATAGCATAATGTCCTCCAGGCTCCCCTATGTGTAATGTTTTATGAGTTTGTTGTTTTTCAGTGTTGGAGAATCATAATATGCTATTGTGTAAATGTACCATAATTTTTCTATCTGTTTGTTTGTTGTGGGGCATTTGAATTGCTTCCATCTCCTTGCTGTTGTGAAGAATGCAGCAGTGAACATAGTGTACATGTATCTGTGTGAGTTGTGGCTTTAGTTTTTTTAGGATATATTCCCAGTAGTGGAATAGCTGCTCAAATGGTATTTCTATATCCAACCTTTTGAGAAAGCATCAGACAGCCTTCCATAGTAG